ACAGCGCTTTTGTTTAACGGGTTAAGAAAGAGAGCGGGTCTCCCGGAGCCACAGTCCCCCCCACTCCACCAAAAAAAAAAAACTAATAATAACTACAGTAGCTAAGGAAAGTGCAGGATGAAGCCTTTTAAATCCGCGCGTGGCACATCTTGGAAAGGGAGCCACCTACAGAGCAGTACGTGGAACTACAAGCAACCAGCACAACCAGAGGAGGGGGGACCTCCTGCTTTCTGGGGGGCCACTAACATTTTCTGGGTGAGACCACACTGTGAATGAATGTGAATGGATTCGCAGTCTCGCCTGAGGCAGGCTGCAGCACGAGCAGTTAGGGGCTATAAAGCAAGATCTTGACCAGATAACTGGGGGCAAGCAAGAACAATGCCACCAATACCCAACTCGGAGAGCCTCCCCAGGAGGATACCGTGGTCGACGGTATCGAAGGCTGCCGAGATGTCGAGGAGGACCAACAAAGATATTTTACCTCTGTCGGCCTCCCTCAACAAGTCATCGTACAGGGCGACCAATGCCGTCTCCGTACAGTGGCGTGGCCTGAAGCCTGACTGAAATGGATCCAAGGCATCTGTTTCATCCAAATGTGCTTGAAGCTGGTCGGCCACCACCCTCTCGACCACTTTGCTCATGAAAGAAACATTGGCGACGGGCCTATAATTGCCAATTTCGTCTGCTGCCAAACGTGTTCAAAAAAGGAGAGAGGTCCTGGTGGGACATTTTACGTTATGCCACTTGTCCGGATCAACTGACAGATGCAAATGCTCAACACAGCACACTGCCTACTGCTCTCTCTTCAAACTTCTCAAAGCAGTAGTCAATGCTAGCCTGTTTTTGTGTGGATAATGAAAACAAACCAAAGAAAAAGGTAAATGATCTTCAAGTAGGCTTTTAAGCGATAACTGTCTCAGGAAGGCTTTCCTTATTCAACTTCTCAAAGTTGAAAACATTTTAAAATGTTTTAAAGTTATTTTTAATCTTGATACATATTTCTGTTTTTTTAAATATCGTATTTTAAAACTGTACAGTTTTGTACAGTTTTAGCTGAGGTGGGTGGGAGGGAGGAAGGAAGGAAGGAAGGAAGGAAGGAAGGAAGGAAGGAAAAGAAAGAGTCAAGTTTTGCACTCTCTTTAAAAGAGAGAGAGAGAGAGAGAGAGAAATCTGTCAGCCTTTCAGATGTCACAAGACCTAATTTGACCCCTACATTTTACTTCCTGTGGGATAGAAATTGGAAGTTGGTTCACATGGAGCCATTTGGTGCTCTTTGTCTTGGATCCAGGCTCCTTCTGTCTCCAAGGCAGTGGGTGACAGAAATGGAGATCCTGAAGACATCAGTAAGGAATCCCATTCCCCCTACAGCCCAGAGAAAGTTCTTAAGGCTCTTAGCATTTTAATTATTTAAATTTTTGCTCCATGCCAGTTTTAATGCAATGGTTCCCAACCTTGGGTAACCCAAGTGTTCTTGGACAGCAACTTCCAAAACCACCAGCCCACACAGCTGGTGATGAAGGATTCTTAGTCCAAAGAATGACTGGGTTAGCCAAGGTTGGGAGCTTACTGTTTTAATGTAGTTATTTTAACATGCTTCCAATATTACAAAATAAAAGAAGAAAGCTTCAAATAAGCTTCCAGCACTGAACATTTTCTTAAGATGGTGACACTAGGAACAGCTACATAGCAATTCTCTGCTTATTTCTACATGACATGCAGGATAGACAGCTCACTTTTATCTTACATTAGCCAGTGCCATAGACTGATGCTGCCTTACTCATACAGAGGAAATACCCAACACAGAAAGACAGCATAGGAAAGGCCGCTTAAGCAAACTCATAAGTTATGCAGCTCAGGTAAAAACAGACACATTATGTTCTTATAAACAGCACCCCATGTCAGAAACACTTTTTCTTAAAGCAAGAGTTTTAGAAATTCTTATTTTTTATGCAGCATCAGCAAACACGTCCACATGCTATACACCTATCAGACACAGTTCCAATGAACTATCTCAGTATAGATCAAAGTGCATAGATCAAAATAGATCAAGGAAATTCTTACTTTTCTCACNCCCCCCGGTAATCTGAAGCACTTGTAAAACAATAAACACACCTTTAAATGACATTTTGAATTCTATGTATAAAACTGGAGACACTAATGGATGAATGCATTCAATAATTTTACTTATTTTGAAAACAGATCTATAGGGTAAATATTCTTATAAAAAGAACAGGTTCTTTTATTCTAACTAATATTCAGAGTATATATGATAAAGTGTGTAATCTGAAGCACTTGTAAAACAATAAACACACCTTTAAATGACATTTTGAATTCTATGTATAAAACTGGAGACACTAATGGATGAATGCATTCAATAATTTTACTTATTTTGAAAACAGATCTATAGGGTAAATATTCTTATAAAAAGAACAGGTTCTTTTATTCTAACTAATATTCAGAGTATATATGATAAAGTGTCAAAAATATGTTTTGCTCAACTCTATCCATATTACAGGACTATACCATCCCAAGCATATAGAGCAGCTCTTACTTTCAAATTAGTGTCACCATGACCCCCATCCTAGGGAGCCATTCTGGCTGGACATATTAGAGAGATCAGCAGCAAGCACCATAAAGGCCAGATAAGGTCAAAAACCTCCCTGCACAGGATTCTCTACAGCTAATCAATAGTAAACAAAGTGCAAAGTTCTGGGTTGGGAGACTGACTTATTAAGCTTACCAGTCTCCATAAATGAAGCTGTGCCTGAGAACTGCGGCCTAGACTCAACTACATAAAAAGTTCATTTGCAATCAACTTTGCTGGGGGTAAGTTCCTCACCCAGAGATGCCCAATGAGATGCAGAAACTCTGCCCTCCTTTCTCCCATGGGCATCTAACCAAAGGCAAAAACAACATGGTTGGGATGGGCGATTCTAGAGCAGTGCTTTGGAAGATCACTTTTTCTTTTTGGAGCACAACTCCCAGACGACTCCAACCAGCCAGATCGCCTAATCATTCAGAAGTTACTTTTTCAAGCTCTGTTTTTGAAGGTAGCTGAAAATCCTGTTGCTAGCTCACCTACAGCATCTATCAAGTCACCCTCAGTTGAAACAACCCTCCCTTTGAGCATCTCACCTTCAAAAGCATCCACGATATGCAGGTAAAAGGTGTGCTCATCTCAAGTAGCATTCCCATCAACGGTAGGTAATGTCCAGCCTTTACGTTGATAATTATACCAAAAAGGCTACCGAAGGCAAGGAGATGGTGAACAACTAAGAAAATGTCAAATGTCCTGAAGACAACGTTAGATACATGGACAGCTATATTTTCCAGCAAGAAGAAGCCAGAGGCAATTAGGCAATCAAACCAACTCCAGTCCTGTTGGGAGGACACTTTGTCAGCTTGTAAAACAGGATCCAAAAGTAAAGCCCACAAGCCAGCAACACAACTCTGGATACCAAACACACCTCGCGTCGTAGCCAGGTTCCAAAAGACTTTCTCCTTGGAAGGCAGTGAACGGTAAGTTATGCTCATCCATGAAGACAAGTAGTGTGAGAGATAAAATACTCCCAAGTAGACAAAGAAGCCAGCTGCCACTAGCTTCAAACGGACATCCCACAGAACATAATCCCAAGAAAATATGGATTGGGGTGTTGCCCCACCATTTTCAAGATTCATTTCTCCAGTTTGATGCTACAGTTTATGGCTTCTGAGAGATTTCTGGGAAAGTCTCTCACACCACAGCCAGTTCTCCTCATGGATCTTCAACTTCTGCTTGTACTTTCAACAGTAGCCAGATGCACAGTGCCATCTGCAGGGACAGACAAAGAACATTTATAGGAAACGGTTCATTTGTATACATGTGCATGCATATAATAACCTTATTCACAGCTCTTAACAGCTCACCCATCATTATTAGCAATTAAGAGTCACCAGGAGCTACTTGTTTATGGTTTCTTCCTTCCCTTTTCCAATAGCACCATGATCTAAGAATCAGGGAAAAGAGATCATTCGCATTATTCCTTAGTAGACATCATTGGCCACATGAAAGTGCGTCCTAAGTCAAAGAGCTGTAATGTATGACAATAACCATGTTTTACTCCACAGCAGAGTTGGGGAACTGCACTCAGATTTTGCTAAACTCTAGCTCCTGTCACCTGTGCCCATGGTGAAGGATGATGGGAGCAAGCCTTTCATGCATTTACTGAGAGCCACAGGTTCCATGCTCCTTCTTTACAGCAGTTAACTCCCATGCGCCTTTGTCGTTCTGATATGAGAACCTACGACTCGCAATACAAAGTATTAAAACTATGTATGAGGGTGTGGGTCAAGACCAAGCCACAAAACAAAGTGGAAAGCAAAGCGATTTGAGGGGAAGGAAAGAGAAGCGGTTTACAACAGAAGCGGTGAACCTGTGACCTGCACACCGTATATGCTGTTACTGCTTCCCCATCCCATTCTTGATTTCACTCCGGTGCTGGCCTCTCGTGTACAAGTCCCTGAAGCAATGAGAATGAAAGTCCACCAGGTAAACCCATGTATAACCTCAGACTCCCAGTCCTCTATGGCTAAAAGAGAGTAGCATCCTTTGGAAAGAAAGCTCTAGCTCGAGCCAGGTGTTTCTCCTGCCTTCTGTTGCTTTTGTTCTCTTCACAAAAAAAATACAAAGTCACTGTCAATTAAGGATTTCCTTCTGTCAGGCCTCCAAGCGCATGCCAAGTACCAGTACCAGTACGTGTTACCCCTAACTCACCTGAGGTCATGCCTCCATGTGAAGCATAAGTCTTGACTGAATATAGCTTCAGAACTGCTTTATAACCCAGTTGGACAGACATAAACAACCTTTTTTTAAAAAAAGTCCTAAGCGTCAAGATCTTACCTGTTGTTCCTGCATTTATCTCTGTGAGAAAGTTTACAAAAAGGCTGGCTACAAAGGAGTTTATCCCATTCTGTAGCTCGCAGCTGAATCAGTTGGGATCACTCTAAAAATCACTGATTACACAACAATCTTGGGTAAAAGTTCCAACTCATCCCAAATTGGTCTAGGGATGAAGTCTACTTTTTACTCAAAATGGTTAGGATCGGCCCCAATAAACATGGTTTTCTTGCTCTACGATCACCTAGTTCACTCCACTGCGGGGTTGGGGGAATGCTCTTCGTACGCATCAGTGGTGAGGTGTAGAAGTGGTGTGGCCATGATTGTGGATGGTACCCTCCACCCTACTTTGAAATGGGGAAAAAGGCACTTTGTTTAATTTTATTTTTTAAAAATAATTTTCAACTATTGCACTGCATCACCTAAGCACTGTGCCACTTAGAAAAGGTAATTTTTTTTAAAAAAGGAGAAAGAAAGATGGCACTTTGTACCCCTCCTCTTTACATGCATAAAAAAGAGCATTTATGCCCATCTGTAAACAAATGGAAGCAGGCTATTTCCTAACCAGTTGACAGCTATCGCAAAAGAGAAGGCAGAAGCAGGGGAGGGGCACACTGTGACCAAATCTACCAAAACGGAATGAATCCAATGGCAACATGTAGTTGACCAGATCGCAACTAAAAGGGGCCGCAAAAGCAATATATAATGATAATAATCTTAGAACGGTAGAGTTGGAAGGGACCCTAGGGATCATCGAATCCAGCTCCTCTCAAGGAGGCCCAGTATGGAATAGAACTCCCAACCTCTGGCTCCACAGCCAAGGACCTAAGCCACTGAGCTATCCAACAGTTATTCCATGTAAATGGAAGAAGCAATGTAATCAAGTCCCATTGTTCCAAACTGACTCAGACCAGATCACTCCCTGTTGCTATTGTACGTAGTGGCACCCAAAGTCATTTTAAGCTATATAACTGGATGTTGCCTTACTCCAGGTCAGACCTAAACCACTTTCATCCTTAAGTGCACACACAGAAATCTTCCGTGTTACCTGCTTCCACGTCTCCACAGTTCAGATACATCAGAGTAGAAGTGGGGCTGTTTATGAGCTAAGCCTGTGCTCTACTATTGCCCAATGGCTCTTTTCATAACTCAACGTAAAAAAACAAACAAAAACAAACTTTACGTTTCACTTCTGTTTTTAGTGAATCTTTTCGTGAGCTATCTTGAGTCTCATTTTTGGGAAGAAGGGCAGGACTCCAAAGACTTGGAAGCAATTCTCCATTGCACCAGAAAATGGGTATCTGGCTACAGAGCCAGAGATTGAGTTCTCTGTTGCCCACGGTGCTTCCCAGAAGAGAGAGCCTCTGTAGCCTTGGGCAAGCTGCACAGCCCCAGGATGCCCCCAGAAGGAGGAAGGAAGGGTCAACCCCTTCTGAGTACTCTCTACCTGTAACACTCCGAAACCAGAATTGTCTTGATCAGTGGTTCTTAACCTTTGTTACTCGGATGCTTTTGAACTGCAACTCCCAGAAACCCCAGCCAGCACAGCTGGTGGTGAAGGCTTCTGGGAGTTGCAGTCCCAAACTCCTGAGTAACCCAAGGTTAAGAACCAGTGGTCTTGATGACACCTCACAGGGTTGTTCCAAACACCGGGTGGGGTGGAGAACCCTATGGATCATTTAGACCTCATTTTAGAAATACAGTAGTAAGATATAAGGATGAGGAATAAATAAAGCAAATATAACTCCAATAAACAGAATGGCCAACCACCACCAATTCATTGAGGGACGACTTTCACAGGCTGTACCTTGCTAACTTCAAGAAATACAGTACACACTGAAATGTTCTGCCTTGGTTGGGTGCTCCAGCTAAGGATGAAACACAACCCTTCTCTGACTCCTGTTTTGCGTTCAAGGGCCTCTGTAAAAAACAAAAAACCGAGATGCCAGAAGGAGGGCAATAGGCTCAGAAACACGAAACTACGTTTTCCAACAGAAGCTCAGACCTATGGCCTTGGGCGAAACTACCTCTGAGCACCCTCTACCCCCCAGGACAGAAAACGATGAGTTAGATAGAACTCACGCGACAGCACGCGATGATGATGAGGATGATGACGACGATTAATGCATGGCGAGGCTCAGAACAAATACTACCGTAATTCCAAGGCACCCTTATTCTGTATCTTTTGATTGCACAGGGACGATTCGCCTCCTCCAAGTCGAGCAACTCGGAACAAACCAACCAAAACCAACCACCCCAAATCCCCCCCAAGAGCCAGGTTCTCGCTTTAGAAACCTAAACAAACCCTACAAAAAAGGGGGGGAAGGGTGAGTCGATGCCCAGCTTTCCCTCCTCCTTGGCAGGGACCCTCCGCTCACTCGGCTACAGCAAGAATGCAAGACGGCCGTCCCGGGACGAGCGGTATGCCGGGGTTGGCGTTCGCCTCTTTTTTTTTTTGCTTTTGGGGCGCTTCAGCCGGCCGCCACCACCACCCCCCCCGAAGCCCTCCTTGCCACGGCCAGCCCTTTTCTCAAGAGAGCCAGCGGGTGACACTTACTGTCGGCCGAGGCTGCCCCGAAACAGGCCCTCCTCCGCCTCTTTGCCGCCTCAATGCTCGTCGTCGTCGTCGTTGTTGGTCTTGTTTAAGGTCTTCCCATCACGCGCTGACGCCACCGCCACCCGTCCGGATCGGGAGGAGGCTTGCGGGTCAGCGAAATAAGGCTGGACACGGGGCGGGGGGGGAGGGCTGTTACCGAGGGAACTCAGGGGAAGAGCCACCCGGCTCGGCGGCAGGAGCAAGCAAGAGAGCGCGCACACACGCACGCGCTTCCGTCCGCCTGGCTGGCACCTCCCTCTTCCTGGCGTTGCAATTGGGAGCAAAGCGATTCGGCTCTGCCCGAAGGGGAGGAGCAGGAGGGGTGGAGGCCCCGGACGGCCCGTTCCGCTCTCCACCTTGAAGGGAGGGACGGGGTGGTGGGGGGGTGGGCAGGTGGAAAACAAAGCAGGCCTGCTTTGCACAGCACATACCTACCCGGTTGGAGCCTCGAGCTGGGGTGGGGGAAGAGGGAGAGCGCACCCGACGGGCCGGGGGAAGACCAGGCGCGGGGGCGCTGTGGCCCGTTGCGAAGGGCGCTTTCCACCGGCCACGGAAGCCCTGGCCGGGCAAGGCTCGCGGGACAAGCTTTGCAAATGGACCCAGGCCAGTTTTAAAGGCCGAGGCTCTGTCCCCGCTCTCTCCCTGAGAGAAAGCCCCGTGGAAGGCGGTGCGACTCAGTCGACCCAATTCCACACAAGATTTGTGTATGGGAGGGGGGGACGGGCGGGTCCAACTTCAGATATTTAAGGAGCGGTTTTGCCGGCTCCCCTCCCCCAGTCAGTGTCCATGGCTGACGAAGGACTCGAACCCAGGCCTCCCGGGACCCAGTCCTTCACCTACTTGGAGTTAACTAAAGCGTTTTGAGTCAGATTCCCAAGGAACTGAGTTTGACTGGACGACCAGCTTCTGTTCATTTGCATGGAAAGGAGAATGTTAAAGGCAGCCAGGATTCTAGGCTAACATTTATGTTTCATTTCAAAATTCGGGGGGGGGGGAATTGACTACAATTCCCAGAATCTTCAGCCATTATGAGATACCTTAGCTAATTCGAAATACAGTAGAAGCATTTCTGAATAAAATCCTGCCCCCCCTCCACGTGGGACTTACTCAAAAAGACTGTAGTGTTACCTCCTAGACCCCAGTGAATTCATCCATCAGAGGAGCTGAATGGTTTCTGTAATTTATGTGCGCAAATGTATGTAAAATCCCAGCGTTATCCACTTCTGCATTAATCCTAAAGACTAAGAAGCAGGCAGTTAAATTGATTTATAATTAGTAAATTATTTTAAATAATAAACAAGGGACTAATACATTTTAGAATGCCACTTGAAGAGGAAAGTGCCATTGTGCCTGTGAAATATGAACAGCTATTGGTTTATCTATGGCTCAGGAACTCTCTTAGGAACCGGAATATACAGGTGAGACAGCTGCTCCCTCATTCTGCTTGCAAACATAATAGCCAATATATTTTGTGCAACTCTCCCTTCTGCCGTTTTAGAATTGTTGTTAGGTAGCTCTAATCATGACTTTGTGCCCATCTTGTCACTGTGATAAAAAGGGAGTTCTGTGAGGTCTTAGGACAATAGCAGAAGACAGTTTGTCAAAAGCAGATAGCACTTGAGGCAGTCAACTAATAAATTGGTTGCAGGAATGTAGCCAGCATCTCCCTCCCAAGCCTTTCTGCTCTCTAAAGTCCTTAGTGATCCTCCGGCACTTCCCCCACCCCAAACACTAAGATGTCAGCATTGCAGTGTGCCTCACCAGACCACTTCCACTGAATAGCCATGAAGTAAGGCACCTAGAATCTAGCAGGCATCGTTCGTTCGTCGTCCATTTAGTCGTGTCCGACTCTTCATGACCCCATGGACCAGAGCACGCCAGTCCCTCCTATCTTCCACTGCCTCCCGTAGTTGTGTCAAATTCATGTTGGTTGCTTCGCAGACACTGTCCAGCCATCTCATCCTTTGTCATCCCCTTCTCTTGCCATCACACTTTCCTAATATCAAGGTCTTTTCCAAGGAGTCTTCTCATGAGATGGCCTTCTTTAGAACCCGACGATCAGCTGTTTTTAGATCGTTGTAATGCGAAAATCGGTTCCCGAGGCAGGGAATCGATCATTGTGAAGTGAATTTTTACCATTTAAACCATCGTTTTGCAATCGCAAAAACCTAATTGTCAAGTGATTTCCTCATTAAGCGAGGCAATCGTTAAGCAAGGCACCACTGTAATCTCTCCTCCGGTTCTCGGGTGTCAATTCCCTGATGGACAGTCTCTTGTGATGGTGGAAGCGGGATGGTTTAAACCTCCTGAGAAGCCTCAGGATGGACAGCACTCCAACAAGAGCCTCTATACTCTCATCTCGCACCTCACATCAGTTTAAAACCAATATTGTTTCTGATTCCATGATCCAAATCCCTGCTCTCTTTATCCCTTCTGCTAGATCAACATGGGCGCTGAATTTCAACACAGTAGAGGCCAACAGAAAGAACCATTACACATGTGTCGTATACACATTTTGTTTAAACCACTGGTTCTTAACCTTGGGTTACTCAGGAGTTTTGGACTGCAACTCCCAGAAGCCTTCACCACCAGCTGTCCTGACTGGAGTTTCTGCGAGTTGCAGTTCAAAAACATCCAAGTAACAAAGGTTAAGAACCACTGGCAAACCACATATGTGAGAGCAACATATTAGAACTACAGAAAAAGGTAAGCAGCAGAGAAGCGTAGGATTCCAACCCATATGTCAAAGATTTGCTTGAGAGAAAGCAGCTCCAGTACAATGGACACTGCAGATCACAGAACCATAGGATCATGAAATTGGAAGGGTCCATTGAGTCTGTCTCCATCTTCTAAAGTTGTCACTTAGAAAGCTCTCTCGTATGTTCCCACGAGACACAGCTTCACTTTGGATTGATGTAAGCCTCTCCAGATGACTCTAGTACTGTACCCAGGAAATAATATATGGAAGGAGATGGGTCTTTAGATATCCTGGCCTTAAGCTGTTTAGGGACTACATTTGAAGGTGATCACTAGCACCAGGCATTCTTGCTTTAGATATTCATGCTAATGTGGAAATAGTAGGGCAGGGGAAAGCCGTGAATCTTTGAGGGTTAAAGGGTTATAACTCTGCCTCTTTGTGTGGCTAAAGTGTGTAAGGTTTACACACTAAAGTGTGTAACCTATAGGCAAGTCAGTTCCACTGAACATGTAGATACTCAAAGGGTAACTCTCTAAGACTGGTACTAGTAGCTGTTGAGTTATATGGACACTAATCCATATAAAGAAAGCACCTCCAGTGTTTGGTGGAAAAGGCAGCACCTCTCCCAAGAGGAGAAGAGATGTCTGCAAAGCCCCTTATAGCCTTAGTTAAATCTGTTGCAAGAGGGATAGCACGTCACAGCTCATTGGCAGAACTTGGAAAAAGCCAAACAGCAATTGCCAGGATTCCCCCGCTGCCACTCCCACCATCCCTATCCAGTGCAGTCAGTGGGGAGCGATGATGCAACTTACCATTCAACAGTACAGTATCTGGAGGACTGCAAGTTCTCATCCTTGATTTATGAGAAATACAGTGTAAGCATCCATCATATCTAACTCCAGCTTCTATAGATGTGTAACTCTCTGCACCATTATCATCATCACCTTTGATCTGTAGAGCTGGAAGGGACCTTATGGATCATTGAGTCCAGCCCCTGTCAAGGAGGCACAGTGAGGAACTGAATTCCCAACCTCTGGCTCTGCAACCAGATACCTAAACCACTGAGTGATCCAGCAGTTTATCTCCAGTGCAAGATTAAATCAGTGCCTCTGTTATTTATCAGTGTGTAAATATTAATCTGCAGTATTTAGAACATTTTTTTCCACTTTGAAATAGGCAATCTTTGTTTTGCAAAACAAAGCAGCTGTAATGCATAATTACTATTTAGTGAAAATCCAGGCCTTACTCAAGTGCACAGCCCCAATTTATGCAGGTTCTTAGCATGATTTATTTGTTGAAGGATAACTCATGCCATTACACATTTCCTTTTGTACTTGTTGAGTAACAACCTTGTACCCACCTGCTCCTATTTTAAGCAAGAAAAATCTTCTCAACCTGTTATAGCAGCTGAGTTGGGTTATTGCAGCCTTAGAGTTCCTACTCAAGCAGGAGAGATCTTAAATCAGATCTTAAATCATAAATGGCACAAGGTGGCGGGAATTTCTCTGGGAAAGAAGTAAACCTGTCTGATGCAACAACTTCTACCATGTCTCCCAACCAGAATTGCAAGGTGGTGATCTGCTCCATCTTCTAGGACAAAGGAGCCACTGAATGTGGTAAACACCAGAGAGGACATGATGGGATAAAATGGAGGACAACCCCCCCCGCCAAAGTTCAGCTCTGTGCAAGTGGGCTGCAAGTGCTGTGGATGCAACGTAGTAGACCACGTAGATCCTGGCCTCTGGAAGGACAAGAAAAATGTTATTTTTATTTTTTTTTATTTTTTTTATTTATTTGATTTATACCCCGCCTATCTGGGAGACTCGTCCACTTTAGGTGGCCTACGTTAACCGAGTTACCTTAGGGTGTTGCATGAAGAGAAGGGCATCATATTCCATCCATCCATCTTCAGGATGTTCTTGGACTAGAAATAGTGAAGGAAGCAGTAGCAGGTGCAAAATAGGGCCTAATAATGACAGACAGATGCACAGATTCCATCTGCAATGTCAGTAATGGTCAGGTATTACTTTATGTTATTTTTTGTTCTTATTTATTGAAAGGGCAATCATTTGTCACTCTAACTTCCTTTAAAGCTCTTGTGGTCCTTTTATTCAGAAGAGAGAAATAACTGCTCTCCTCCTGTGTCACCCAAATGTTTTTGTTTCCCAGCAACTTTTAAACATTTCCAGTAGGCAAAAAGGCTGGATAGCTCAGTGGTTGCGATGTCTGGCTGCAGAGCCGCAGGTTGGGATTTCGATTCCCCACTGGGCCTTCCTGGGAGAAGAGCCAGCCTGGGTGGCCTTGGGCCAACTGCACAGTCCCAGGGCGCCCCCCAGAAGAAGGGAAGGGTGAACCACTTCCGAATATTTTCTACCTGGAAAACCATGAAAAGGGTCATCTTAAGTCAGAATTTACTTGACAGCACATGACTACAGTATTATTAAGAGTACCCAACATCTATGCAGCAGCTCCAGTTTTGTGTGTCACTTCCCGAGGCCAGGTTGTTATTTTAAGGCAGTGGTTCTTAACCTTTATTACTCAGGTGTTTTTGAACTGCAACTCCCAGAAACCTCAGCCAGCAGAGCTGATGGTGAAGGCTTCTGGGAGTTGTAGTCCAAAAACATC